TTCATGGTCTACTCATTCTTCATGGGCTTGGTATCAACTGTTCGTCTGGCCGAGGAGTACTTCAGTGAGCTGACTCATCATTACATCAGAACTCATGAATTATTCATTGATATATTGTCTCTTTAAATGTATGTTGTATAATAATGATTTCCAGTGTTTGGGTGTCAACTAAACGAGACTTAACATGAGCGCTAACCCTCACTCTCACGACCAGATTTCCATCGTAGAACCACATATTTCTACAGACTCATTATGCGACAAGATCCCTGCATGTCGAAGAAATAGATCAAGAGCATGAACGTGATTTCAGTGATAATGCAAATGTAACGATAATTGTTAAAAAAGATGAAAATAATGTTGAAATATATTTTGAATATTCAGAAATTGTTCATGAAAAGATAGGCCATCCTATTGTGTGTAGTAGAAATGATACTGATTGTAAATGCATGCTGCATATTTTACGCAATGCTTCTGTTCATTATCCCTTGTTGAAACGCCTTTTAATATACTTTTATGTTGCTAGAAATACCCATTTAACAATAGATATTATTGACTTCCCTTGCTTATGGCGACATAGCACAATTGATACATTTAAAAATTAATGAAGCCGATGAGACTGAATTTGATAATGTGTATTACGCTACAAATGATGGTGAAGATGACGCATTTAGAATACCAAACTTAGATCCTGTACTTTATTTTCAGTATTCAGATGCTATTGATGAATTTAAGAAAGCTTTGTCTGATCAGGCTGTCAATGTATGTTGCAGCTGTGAGATGCTTTGAAGAAAAAAGTCAATCACTGAAGCTAAAAATTTAGATAGCAATATTTGTAATCATTGTAAACCTATAATTAGAAAAAATGAAGTTCCAGCACGTTGTGTGCTCAATGGTTCACAGTGTGATCCACTACCAAAAGGATTGGAAAATTTGGATCCTTTGAGTTGCCAGTTAATACAGAAAACAAAGTGTTTTCAGACAATTGTTAGGCTAGGTACCATAGGCGGCTAAAGAATCTTGAATTAACCAGGGCTCATTAATTATTCATAAGAATTAGGGGTGTGGTCAATTAATAAAATGACTGAAAGTCCTTATGATAGCTCACAGAAGCCAGTTATCACACTAAAATAACTGTAAAGTGGAGCTGATAGCAAGTATAAACAGTTGTGGCTATAAAAAATGAATTCTAGTGATGATATCACTCCTAATAATAACAAAACACACCTTTTGGGTGTGGTTATGGTTGAAAATTACCAGGGCAAAGCCCTGGCTTGCCCGGGCCTAAAGCCACCTATGCTAGGTACACACACATTAAAAGTGTGGAAACTTTAAATGAGATTGGTATAGATCCTAATCATTTGTAGTGATGGGCGATATGGCCAATTTTCTTAATTTTCGATAACGATTGATAATGGACTTTTTGAGGAAATATCGATTATTAACAATACGATAACCACACCTTCATTTAGGGGTGTGGCTAATGATTTAGGCACTGTACTGGACATAAGAAAAGATCATTTCCATGCTCTTGAGCCTTGTTTCTCTTCTTACTGGGGTAGGCTGAGCTAGCAACTGGTCAGTTGCCTCTTTCTTGCAGTTCAACAGTGTAATTACTTAATAAAATTAGTTATTTAACCTTAGAAATGGGCGTGGTCAATAGATCGATAAAAATTGCATAAAATTTGATAATGATTCAAATCGATTCCGTAAAATATAGTTTATATTGATAAAGAATCGATATATCGCCCATCACTAATCATTTGCATAATCCAGAACATTATATTATTAGTAATGGACAGTCTACTAAATCAAATAATGTCTGGCGTGGCCTAGTTGATGTAAATAAAATTAAAGCAGCATTAAGAAAATTAAAAGAAATAAATTGACTTTATAGAAGTGTAGACGCTCATTCAATTGACGAATCACATAAAAATGTTAAACAAGTAGTTAGCAATACTACTTGTAAAATGCTTAAAAAAGCAAATGATCCAGATTTAGCAGGCCTTTTGGCATATAAAATTAAAAATCTTGATAGTAAAATTGTAACGGGTTCTGATATTAGTCAATGTAAATTGATGAATGTAAAAGAAGCACCTATAGACAATAGGCAAGAGCATCTTGACTTGTTATGCTTCCGTACTTTATTTCAAACTGGACAATATGGAGACCATCATCCCAGACAAAGCTATCCAGCACAGACTTTATAATTTAGTGAATACATAAAATCAAAAATTTTAAACAAAGATTCCAGATTTTGTAGAAATCATTCATATTGTTTGCACAATTATAGATTAAAAATTTACAAAGCCTTAAAAACTGGCATATATAATTTATTAAAAACATCAAGGGGCAACATTGGTCAAACTGTTGCTGAAATATTAAAAAAATAAATGTGTTAGATGAAGAATTTGAGGGCAATTTAAGTACCATGTTGGCTCCAATATGGGGTACAAATCAATATTTGTTCCGTGTGAAAGGTGAAGTCAAAGCAATGATTGCTGAGTATGGCTCACCAACACTTTTCCTAACATTAAGTTGTGCTGAATATAATTCAGGTGACATAGCGCAATATTTAAGAAAACTAAATAATGCTTCACAATCATATAGTATTTCTAGATTATGTACTGAGGACACTGTTTCAGTATCGCAACAATTTTCATACAAATTTAAGGATTTCTTTAACATAGTCATTCTCCAGAGAGAGGTGTTCTAGGCAAAGTAGAACATTGTTATGTTAAAAAGAATATCAAATGCGTGGAGCGCCTCAGTATCACATCCTCCTATGGATTGAAAATGCTCCTGTTGTCAGTATCGATCGTCCAGAAGAAGTGTGTTCTTTTACACACGATAGAATTACCTGTCATATACCAGATAGTAATACGTCGCCTCATATAAATTTTTTGGTAACAAAATAGCAAATGCACAAATGGAGCAAATACTGCAAGTGAAATATTAAAGTCGGCAAGACATATGTATCTAGATGCTGATTTGATTTTCCTAGACCAGTATGAGATAGTATTTGCATCAATAATGTAGAAAACAGCTTAAAATCATGCAATAAAATATATTATCTCAAACAAAATGAAAAAGAAGTTCGAGGCAATGACTATAATCTTTTACTACTGAAATTGTGGCGTGCAAATATGGACTTGCAATACATAGCAGAGAGGAGTCTTTCCTTAACAGAGTATGTAACTGGATATGTCACTAAAGCAGAAAAGAGTCATACACAGGACTTATAGGATGAAGTCAGCAGCTGTGACAACATATACAGCAGGCATTGGAAAATTGGCCAAAAATTACTTCGAGCTAAAGAAGTAGGACTATATGAAGCTAGAGATCTTCTAGGTGAAAGTTCATACATGAACTCAGTAACTGTACAATACGTTAATGTGTACTTGCCTCATAAGAGGAGCAGAAAAGTAAAAAACCATTTATATTTAACTAAAATGGATCGATCTTCGAAAGACATCTTTAATCCTAGCATAATTGAAGACTTTTATTCAACAAGACCAAATAACATTGAAGATGTATCTATTTATGAATTTGTTGCTAATTACAAATTTGAGAAAATGGAGAAGGAGAATACAAACTTCGATCAAAGCCAGTCCTTCCAAATTTAATCATATGCAAGAAGCGGAAAAAGACGATTCTTATTACTCGCTAATATTTTTATGTGCCTTTTAGAGATGAGAGCACAGTTGTAATTGGAAGGAGAAACCATGGAAGAAGCTTTTAGGCATCACAGAGAAGCATGTATACGTGGCATTGAAAATCATTTCAACAAACTACAGAAATTATTAGAAGCTGAACGTAATTGGAAGAAAATAGTCAATGCAAGAAATAAAGCCGGTTTCACTGAAGAACTTCCTGATAACAAGGAAGATGATGAGCCTCATTTACTGGGTGAAATAATGGAAGCAGTAGCTGATATTGCTGACATGGCGTACCTAATTTAACATTACAGCAAGAAGAGGCAATGCTTAATGAAGATCAAAAAAGAAGTTTTGATAACATTGAGTCATCTTATAAGTCAAAAAGAACGTGAAGAGTTATTAGAGAATGAGTCTTCAAGACTACTTAGATTAGATAATATGAAACCGCTAAGAATGTTTATTAGTGGTGTATGTGGAACTGGTAAATCGTTTTTGATAGAGGCAATAAAATGCCTAGTGGATGACGTATGGCATGCAAAGTTATGTGCTGTAGTAGCACCAACAGGTATAGCCGCATTTAATGTAGGTCGACTAACAATACATTGATTATTTCAGCTACCGATAAAGCATGAGAGAAAGACAGCTGGATATTGGGCTTTGAGTAAAGAAGCTCAGAAAATAATAAAAATGACATTTAAAAATGTAAAAATTATAATAGTAGACGAGGTATTTATGGTATCAAATCTAAATATAGCATACTTAAGTACACATGCGCTTAGAAGATATACTTGGAACTAATGAATGGTTTGGATCAAAAAAAATATTATTTGCAGGTGACCTCTTACATTTGCCACCAGTCAATGGTAGGCCAGTATTTAAAAAATGAGCAACAAACTAGTAAACACTAGACTTGGAGTAGCAAATGCAGTTAACATTATGGAAAGAAACAGTAGAATATGATGAACTAACAATCAATGAGCAACAAAAAGGAAACGAAACTTTCTTTAAGATGCTTGATTTTGTTAGGCATGGCTGTCTGACTGATGAAACCATTGATACGCTAAGAGTCGCATATTTAAGGTTTTGATAAAGAAGAATATAAGAAATTGGAAAGTGAAGGAAGAAATCCTCCAATTTGCCTATTTTCTAATGTAGACACCTGCCAAAAAATCAATAAATTAATGTTAGAAAGTCTAGAAACTTGACAAAATAGAATTAGCATGTGTTGATGTTGTTGATGAAAGTGGCAGCACAGCAAAATTTGACAAAAGAAAAGAAAAAATTAGAGAAACTAAAAGATCAACCTGGCAACACAGCTGGTATTAAAACTGTATTGTTTTTAGCAGTAGGCTGTAGAGAAATGCTAAGACGTAATATTGATGTGACTGGGATTAGTTAATGGTGCCATTGGTACAGTAATGGGTATTTATGCTACACGTATACCAATCAAATTTGATCATTGATGTACCTTGTGAAATAGAATGGGTTACATCTAGATTTATGCTATCTAAGAATGTGTATATACATAGGAAACAGTTTCCCCTTATACTTTCTTATGCTATTACTATACATAAATGTCAGGGCCTCTCACTAGATACAGCCATTATTGATTTATTGACCGATGTTCTTGGGGATTATATGGCATATGTTGCATTGTCTTGTGTACGTACATTAAATGGATTAAATTTATTATCATTTGATCCTCTCTCTATAAAAGTTAGTAATCCGTGCATTAACGAAATTAACAGCATCAGAAGTAAATTTTGGAATGACTTACCTCAAATAAAAAAAAGTAAAGGAAAGAAGAGAAAGATTCAAGTGACTGGTATAATTGATGATGGTGAACCTTGCAGTAACAAGGCCGATGTGTCTGTAAGTCATGTACAAAGTACTAGTAACAGTACCGTTAGCAATAAACGTAAGAGTACTGATTTACTAAAGTCTTGTCACCCCAAAAAGAGTAAAGTATGTGACGATAATGCTTTTAATAAGCCTTGCTCCCAAAAAAGAAAAGCTGATGTAGACAGTAGTACTGACAATACTGCTTTAGTATTATTGCCTTGCTCAAAAAAAGATGATAAATTAATTGTTTCAATTGATTTGAAAGACCTAAAAACCAAATTTACTGTCAAAGATGATGATAGTTGCAATAGTCTGATTGTATCTATTGATCTCTCAAGCATTAAATGTAAACCGAAAGATGATAAAACAAAGTGTATTGTAAAAAGTGATGATTGTAGTAGTAGTCTGATTGTATCCTTAAAACTGTCAAGCATTAGATTAAAGACAACTAATCCAAAAAAAGATGATAATGTCATCTTTACTTATGAAGAGCCTCCCAATCCAGATAATGTTAGGTGACAAAGGGATTACGCTTATTACCTTGCTAATGAAGAAGAAAGGTGGTGTGATATTGAACCTTAAGTTTGTAACAGCTGCTAGAATCTTAGCTGGCAGTCCAACAACACCATTGTCAGATGAAAGAGTTCCTAACAGTACTCTTGATGTCCCTATTGATGGGAACTGTTTATTTTATGCCCATTCATATCTCATTACTGGGTCCATTTCTTAGCATTATGAATTACGTAGAGTAATTGTTAGTAATATGCCAAACTTTGAAGAAGAATTGTTTAATATTACATTAAGTGCAACCAGTTATTCAAGCATATATAATTACATAAATAAGTCCAAAGTATATAGATATTGTGTGGGCCACTGACAAAGAAATTATTACGCTAACAGCAATATTAGGTATAACAATATATTCAGATTGACTCACTCCTACTTTTGTTTGCCGGGCAAGATATGGAACCCAGGAGTTGTATCGTATTCCTTGTGATACTACTACACCTGCTTTGTATTTGAAGCATGTTGGTACTAATCATTTCCAAGCAGTTAAGTCTGTTAATATTTCTGAAGCATTGATTGTTGATGGAAAGTGAGTATGGTGAATGGGAGGTCCATCATCTTTAAAACATTGGTTGTTTAATGTGACTTTTATTTCACTGCATGTGTGAGTGTGTGTGAAAACTAGTGGTGCATATCCACCCATTATTGCTCAGTATAAAGTGATCAAACTGCATTCAGGATGTAAGATTAATCAATGTATAACAGTGAATATTGATTAGTTGTTGCTATAATGGACAGGGAGAAGGTGTAAAAGATTTTTACTGTTCATTAGAGTTTAGCATTGATTCAATTTTGTGTGACTATCATTTATGTAGGACAGAGGGTTAGGAAGGGAGGAAGCTGTCATTATGAATTCCCGATCTTGTTTGTGGCTTGTACTACATGTTTACAACAAATATCAGGTGCTTATGGATCAAGGGCGCTGCTGACAAATTTTGAAGTACAAGAAAAATTTAAAGTAACAAAAAAGTTCTCATTATACTTGTAATATCATTCAAACAGTGATTTGATACATATGTTAATAATCATCATACATGTCAATGTTGCCATCAATGCTGTACGCATTACATGTATGTATATGCTTGCCAGCTGATGTTGCGCATAATGCTGCCATCGATGCTCTGCGCATTATTAAGTTAATGCTTGTCGGCTGATGTTGCGCATTTGAATGATGCTGCCATCAATGCTGTGCGCATATTAAATTGTTGCTAAAAGCATGTATTCTACTGTTAATTTGTTACTACATTTATTAATTCACATTCATAATTTGCACAGGTATTTATTTTATGCAAGGACTGCAATGTAGTGTTAAAGAATAAGGTCAGACTTGGAAAGAGATTTAAAAGGTGAAGGGTTATTCCTTGTTTTGAGAAGATGTACCTTATTAGTGGTTTGTAATGTATGTTTGTGACAAACATAAGTTATATCATGCATATACATGTACATATTTAGTATAGTATATATATCCTGTGTGTTTACATTGCTTGCTGTTGATGATGTTTCTTTTTTACTTTGCTTTTAGGTACATACAGCTGCAAATGATTAAATGATTCAGCAATAAGGTGTAAGGTAATACTTTCATACCATTGTGAATGTATGAGGCTATTGTCTGATTTTGTTTGTGGTAACTAAATTAATTTCTAATAATAATCATTGTAACGTTATGTTTTATTGTAGCTCTTTCATCTGTTGTGATTTCAGACTGGATGATGGGCCAGTTTCCAGCTACACACGTTTCATATCAGCTTAGTCTTGAATACATAGTATGGTAGAATATTGTGAGATTCCATAGTTTTTTATTATTGTTTTAGATCATGGTGAAAGGCTATAATTCTTCTCATGATTATCTCATTAATTATGGCCACAGTTACAGTAAGTATTTTCTTTACTCATTATTGTAAGTTATGTATATCACATTGTAGGAAGATTGAAGCTCAAGTATTGAATTGTTTTGCCCTGTTCAACACTATTAATCTTTAGCATTTCTATTGTACTTTCTAATTTGGCTTTACGCAGAAAGATATTTGACTTTTTATCATGTTATAATGAAGGAAAAAAGTTATTTTTAACGACCTGGGGGCAAAGCCCCCAGGTTGTTCCTATAATTGAATTCACCGTCGCGCTATCTATATATATATATATATATATGTTTGTATGTCCACACTTACATTTCTTCTATACATGTTGTATTGGAGAAATAACAAGCCCTAGCAACCACCCGCCCAGACTCCTTTATGTGGAGGGTGTGGTCACGGCAAACAAAATGGCAGCTTACACATGGGACAAAATTAAGAGCTTTCTAACATCAAGAGAGCATAGAGATACTGTCTAAAGACTTCTTTAGAAGCATTATAAGGTAGAGAGAACCTCTATAAGTCTTAATAATGACCAAGTTGTACTTGCAAGGTGGTGAAATCAATTATAGGAATACTTTTTACCCTGTTACGCTTGTTTACATGTAGATCTAATTAATAAATGTTGTAGTTCTTAGTGTAGGTGTTCCTCCTGCCCGTGCCCCTATGGCCTCTTCAAGGCCTGGCTTTTGGAATATTATTTTACTAAAGTAAAACGGAGAGAGAGTTGATTAAAATGGTACTGCAGATTATTTCTAAATCTTACAATTTGACGATTCATTTGGCGAAGTTGCCAAATGATCTTTTGTCTCTGCTGCTGCAGAGTTGCCATTCCAGGTGGAGCTGCAGGAGGTGGCAGGCCTCTAGGTAAAGGGATTGCTACTGGAGGTGGCGGGCCTGCAGCAAATGGTGGTGGTGGAGGTGGCGGGCCTCGTGCTATTGCCGGTAGTGCTGGTGGTGGTGGCGGACATCCTAGAGGTGGTGTGGAGGCCATCCATTTCCAGCTACTGGTAGTGCTGGAGGTGGCAGGCTCCAGCTACTGCCGGTAGTGCTGGTGGGCCACCTGGAGGTGGTGGTGGAGGCCCTCCATCTCCAGCTACTGGTGGTACTGGAGGTGGAGGGTCTCCAGCTACTGCCTGTTGTGCTTGTGGTGGAAGCGGGCCTCCTTTGCTGGTGGTGGTGGCGGGACTCCTGGAGGTGGTGGTGGAGACCATCCATCTCAAGCTACTGGCGGAGGATAAACTCCATCATTCTCATCATTATCCATAAACTACCAAAAAAATGTATTGATGGCTGATGTAAGTTTGTAACTGAACTGACGTGCTCCTATTTCAAAAAAGTTGAAAAACTTTGATAAAAGTTCAGTTGAGAGCTGTATGCGGACTGTGGGTTTTGCCAGAAAAATGGCTGATTGTAAACTTGAGTAGTTTCAGAACAGGAAATTGATATTAGTAATGCATAGTGAAAATGATTAATAATTATGAGCTAGGCTATGAATATAATTAATAATTCAAGAAATAATGGTTGCATTATATAGGTGGTAGCCTATACGTAGGGTGGAGGTTGATTTTTCATGATGGCGACCAAATTTATATTTTTCAAATGATTATAACTCTTCTATCTTACCTTGTACGGCCTTATAAATGGCTTAGATGAGCTCACCTTTACTGAGTGATTCTCCTGGTACCTTTAAAGTGGACCGCAATGTAGTGGGAGCAATTCTGAATGATAGGCCCAAATTCAAATTTCTGCAAAATTCTTCAGACTTTTTTTCTTTTATCTTTCATCTATACACCGGATAATCTCTTAAACTAGAGAACAGCTCAAGGTGACTTTCACATCATTCCTTGGAGCGTGAGTCAAGGACTACAAAGGTGCTTTCCATATCTTAATCCGTCTTGCATAATTATAAACTAGTTGTTTGGGCTTGATATCACCTCCCCTCTAGATTAGTTGCCCTTTTAATAGTATTGCGCATGCTCAAAGTTGCAATAGTGACTGCACTGGGTGAATATTCGCTCTATTCTTTTTCTCTGCTTACTTGTTCAGCAGTGCGGAGACTAAGTGATTACCAGTTCTTTTAAGAGCTAATAGGTAAATATTATGAAATAACTATAACAAATTTGGTTTCATATATCATCGAACGAAATATAATCTTAGAGCCATCAGAGCAGAAAATAATTTTACAGCTGTTCATTTTTGATAATTTTGGACATCTGTACCTAAGCCAGACCACTAGAGTTTAGTGTTTTCCATTATGCTTCTGATATTGGATATATTGAGATAAGTCTATATAGTTATTTTTAAAATGATTAGCAGTAGTTTACTTGTACCTCCTGCATACGTGTACTTGATGTTATTGTATTTACTTGTTGTGTTAATGTTAAGTGTAGTTGTTGTGCTGTTAGTTGTAAAAAAGGAAGTTGAAAAAGGAAAAGTTATTTAACTGGGGCTAAATCCAAAATAAATGCTCCAAAATTTATAATATTAGAAAAGAAATGGAAGGTTTTATATCTAAAAACAGATCAAATGCCAGAGCCTACTACATAAGGCAGTGTGACAGGGTCAAAGGCAAAGCAAGAATTGCATATAAGATAAGTAAAAAGTATAACATTGCTTCTGCAAAGGCCTATTCTAAGCAGTTTCATGCATTGAACCCAAGTTATATATTGCTAAAATTTTTAAATTGGTACAGCAACAAGGATAGCAAAATTTTAAAATCAGCTTGTTATTCTAAAGAAAATTATAGGATCAATCCAGACCATAATGAAGAAGCTTCTAGAAAGCATTATCAAAATAATCTGCAAACAAAGAAGCCTCTAGAGATCATTATCAAAAGAATCCTAACCCTCAAAAAATGAAATCAAAGGAACGCTATCATTATAATCCGGACTCACAAAGGCAAAAGTCTTTGAAACGTTATTATGAAAATAGAGACACAATATTAACTACAACGAAGGATAACTTTTTGAGGTTTACACTTTCTGCTAACAAAATGGATAAATTAAAGGTGTCACTAAATAAAGAAAATAAGAAGCATCTAAATAAAGATTTTACGAACGTAATTATAGTCACATTATATAGATTACGTTTTGATTATTCATCCTGCACCAAATAGTGAAGCAAAGGAATATTATTTTACGAAAATTATTGAAGCATGATATTACAGCCCCGAAATAGTTGATTTATTACCATCAAGTATGAAAGGTGTAGATTTTGAGAACATATCATATGACAGTAAATGTAATGCTGCATCAAGTATATTGTTAGAATCAGTTTTGAAAAACAGATCCCACAAAGTAGGCGTATTGATACATGCAGCAAATAGCATTAGGAAATTGAAGTGAATAGTTTCAATGACTTTGGGGAACAATGCCACACAAAGTATAGTGAGCCTTATTGTTATGAATCAGCATCTTTGTATCCTAATGATAGTTATGATAGCCAATTAGATAGCCCAATCGCAATCTCTGTTGATGCGAATGGCATCTGTTATGTAGCAGGGATGGTTGATATATCATGTATTGATAAAGTAGAAGAATGTAACGATGATAGTGACTCTGAAGATGAAAATTTTGATAATAATAGAATGTATACTAATAAGAGAAAGCTTACCCTCAAATGGCACTGTACAGACAGGTGCAAGCTATAATTAGAAAGTGACGTTAGTTCTATTATTGAAGTTAGACGTTATTTTGATGAACCCATTAAAGAATTGAGGAAGCATTTAGATGCATGTGACAATTGTCCTAATAATCATTATATGACTAGATCTATGCATGTTGAAGAAATAGATCCAGTGCATGAACATGATTTCTGTGATAATCCTAATGTAACGGTAATGGTTAAAACAGATGAAAATAATGTTGAAAAATATTTTAAATATTCTGATTATGTTTGTGAAAGAATAGGCCATCCTATTGTGTGTAGTAGTAATGATACTGAATGAAAGAGTATGCTGCGTATTTTATGCAATGCATCTGCTCATTATTCTTTGTTGAGACGCCTTTTGAAACACTTTTATGTTGCTAGAATTGCCCATTTAACAATACATATTATTGACTCTTCCCTTGCTGAAGGCCATATAGCACAATTGATAAATTTAAAAATCAGTGAAGCCAATGAGACTGAATTTGATAATGTGTATTACGCTATTAATGATGATGAAGAAGAAGACCAAATTCGAATACCAAAACTTAGATACTGTACTTTTTTTTCAGTATTCAGATGCTATTGACGAGTTTAAGAAAGCTTTGTCTGATCAGGCTGTTAATGCATGTTGTAGCTGTGAGAGGCTTTAAAAAAAAATATGTCACTGAAGCTAAAAATTTAGATAGCGAAGTTTGGATTATCCTATTAGATTACATTAGAGAGAATGATCCTACAGCATTATAAAGTTATGTATATTTGTAATCATTTTAAACCTATTTTTAGGAAAAACAAAGTTCCAGCACGTGTGCTCAATGGGTTGAAGTGTGAGCAACTACCCAAAGAATTGGAAAATTTGGATCCTTTAAGTTGCTAGTTAATACTGAGGGCCAATTGTTTTCAGACAATTGTTGGACTAGGCACACGCACCTTAAAAGTGCCAACCTATAATTCTTTGAAGGCTCATAAAGGTGCAATGTTTTATTTACACCTTCCATTAGAAAAAAACATGGAAACTTTGAATGAGGTTGGTATAGATTCTAATCACTTGCCTAATCCAGAACTTCATATTATTATTAATGGACAGCCTACTAAATCAAATAATGTCTGGTGTAGTTTAGTTGATGTAAATAAAATAAAAGCAGCATTAAGAAAATTAAAAGAAATAAATTGGCTTTATAGAAGTGTAGACGATTATTCAATTGACGATTTGTCTAAAAATGTTATACAAGTAGTTAGCAATACTACTTGTAAAATGCTTAAAAAAGCATATGATCAAGATTTAGAAGGCCTTTCGGCATATACGATTAGAAATCTTGATAGTAAAATTGCAACAGGTTCTGATATTTGTCAATGTAAACTAATGAATGTAAAAGAAACGCCTATAGACAATAGGCAAGAGCATTTTGATTTGTTATGCTTTCCTACTTTATTTCCAACTGGACAATATGGAGAGCATCATCCTACACAAAGCTATCCAGCAGACTTTATGATTTAGTGAATACATAAAATCAAGAATTTTAAACAATGATTCCCGATTTTGTAGAAATCATTCATATTGTTTGCACCATTATGGATTAAAAATTAACAAGGCCTTAAAAACTGGCATCTATAATTTATTAAAAACATGAAGGGGCAACGTTGATCAAACTGTTGCTGAAATATTAGAAAAAATAAATGTGTTAGATGAAGAATTTGAGGGCAATTTAAGTACCATGTTGGCTCAAATATGGGCACAAATCAATATTGGTTCCGTGTGAAAGGTGAAGTCAAAGCAATGATTGCTGAGTACGGCTCACCAACACTTTTCCTAACATTAAGTTGTGCTGATTAATATTCAGCTGATATAGCACACTATTAAAGAAGAGTGAATAATGCACCACAATCATGTAGTATTTCTAGATTATGTACTGAGGACCCTGTTTCAGTATCGCGACAATTTTCATAGAAATTCAAGGATTTCTTTAACATTGTCATTCTCCAGAGAGGTGTTCTAGGCAAAGTAGAGCAATATTATGTTAAAAAAGATTATCAAATGCGTGGAGCACCTCATTATCACATCCTCCTATGGATTAAAAATGCTCCAGTTGTCAGTATTGATCGTCCAGAAGAAGACTTCTTTTATACAAGATAGGATTACCTGTCATATACCAAATAGTAATACGTCGCCTGATTTAAATTTTTTCATAACAAAATACCAAATGCACAAGTGCAGCGAATACTGCAAGTGAAATATTAAAGTCGGCAAGACCTATGTATCTAGATTCCGATTTGATTTTCCTAGACCAGTATGAGATAGTATTTGCATCAATGATGTTGTAATAGCTTGAAGTCATGCAATATAATATATTATCTCAAAAAAAAGTTCGAGTCAACGACTACAATCCTTTACTGCTGAAATTGTAGCGTGCAAATATGGACTTGCAATACATAGCAGAGAGGAGTCTTTCCTTAACAGAGTACGTAACTGGATATGTCACTAAAGCAGAAAAGAGTCATGCACAGGACTTATGGCATGAAATCAGCAGCTGTGACAACATATACAGCAGGCTTTGGAAAATCGGCCAAAAATTACTTCGAGCTAAAAAAGGACTATACTATATCCCAACTGAGTTTGACACCAGCCACTTGGAATTTGAAAAATGTGGCCATACGTCACTAATGACGTCTTATAATGATATTCATAGAAGCATGGCCGATATTTTACAGGTGCCTAGTTGGCCTGTATTTCACTTTTAAATGGGCTTTGTTTGTTCTGATAAGCAGTACAATAGCTGCTGGAGTCAACTAGTATTCATATTGGCCTTTATTATCAAAAGATTTTGCTCTATTAGCTTTTTAAAAGAAGAATTATCAGTTTGTGCGCTCGACCACATGTTCTTATGTAAACTATGACGTAGATAAGTTGTCATAAAATGTCATTTTGGTATGCCATTTGGTTTATAGGGAGAACCCGGTTCTCAGGGTTCCCAAGGGTAGAGAGACCCAAGACCGAGATCCTGTGATGGCATTGAGCGACTAAGAACCTGTGAAAGTTTTATCGTTATCCCACATTCCTATAAAAAGTTATTCCAGTTTATCTTGGGTCAAACTCAGTTGGCATACAGTATATATGAAGCTAGCGATCTTCTTATTGGTGAAAGTTTATACATCAAATCAGTAACCGTACAGAACGTTAATGTGTACTTGGCTCATAAGAGGAGTAGAAAAATCAAAAACTATTCATATTTAACTAAAATGGATCGATCTTTGAAAGACATCTTTAATCCTAGCATAATTGAAGACTTTTATCCAACAAGACGAAATAACATGAAAGATGTATCCCTTTTTGAATTTGTTGCTAATTACAAATTTGATAAAATAGGAGAAAATGGAGAGAATACAAACTTTGATCAAAGCCTGTCCTTCCAAATAATAGGAAATTTAATCCTATGCAAGAAGCGGAAAGAGACAATATTTATTACTTGCAAATATTTTTATTTGTGCCTTTTAGAGACAAGAGAACACTTGTAATGGAAGGAGAAACAATGGAAGAAGGTTTTAGGCATCACAGAGAAGCATCTATACATGGCATTGAAAATCATTTTAACAAACTACAGAAATTATTCGAAGCTGAACGTAATTGGAAGAAAATAGTCAATGCAAGAAATAAAGGCGGTTTTACTGAAGAACTTCCTAATAACAAGGAAGATGATGAGCTTCAATTACTAGGTGAAATAATGGAAGCAATAGCTGATAATACTGACATGTATATAAATGTACCTAATTTAACATTAGAGCAAAGAGACGCAATGCTTATTGTATATCAAAAGAGAATTTTTGATAAAAGTAAGAGTCATCTTATAAGTCGAAAAGAACGTGAAGACTTATTAGAGAATGAGTCTTCAAGACTACTTAGATTAAATAATATCGAACCGCTAAGGATGTTTATTAGTGGTGTAGGTGGAACTGGTAAGTCGTTTTTGATAGAGGCAATAAAATGCCTAGTGGATGACATATGGCATCCAGAAAGTGGTGAAATTGTGTGCTATAGTAGCACCAACAGGTATAGCCGCATTTAATGTAGGCGAATTAACAATACATAGATTATTTCAGCTACCAATAGAGCATGAGGGAAAGACAGCTGGATTATAGGCTTTGAATATACAAGCTCAGAAAAGAATAAAAATGACACTTAAAATTTAAAAATTATAATAGTAGATGAGGTATCTATGGTATCCAATCTAAATCTAGCATGCTTACACATGTGCTTAGAAGATATATTTGGTACTGATGAATGGTTTGGATCTAAAAATATTTTATTTGTATGTGACTTCTTACAGTTGCCACCAGTTAATGGTAGGCCAGTATTTAAAAAAATTAGCAACAAACTAGTAAAAACTAGACTTGGAGCAGCAAATGCAGTTAATATATCGAAAGAAACAGTAGAATATGATGAACTAACAATCAATGAGCGACAGAAAGGAGACGAATCTTTCTTTAAGAAGCTTGATTCTGTTAGGCATGGCAGTCTGACTGATGAAGCTATTGATACGCTTAAGAGTCACGTATTTAAGGTTTCGATACAAGAAAAATATAAGGAATTGCAAAGTGAAGGAACATATCCTCCAATTTGCCTATATTCTAGGGTAGACGCCTGCAAAAAAATCAATGACTTAATGTTAGGTCTAGAAACTGAGAAAATAGAATTGGCATGTGTTCATTTTGTTGATGAAAGTGGCAGCACATCAAAATTTGACAAAAAGCAAGAAAAAAAATTAAAGAAACGAAAAGATCAACCAAGCAAAACAGCTTGTTTAGAAACTGTATTGTCTTTAGCAGTAGGCTGTAGAGTAATGCTAAGACGTAATATTGATGTGACTGTATGATTAGTTAATGGTGCCATTGGTACAGTAATGGGTATTTATGCTACACGTATATCAATCAAATTTGATCATATTGATGTACCTTGTGACATAGAGAGGGTTACATCTAGATTTATGCTATCTAAGAATTTGTATATACATTGGAAACAGTTTTCCCTTATACTTTCTTATGCTATTACTATACATAAATGTCATGGCCTCTCACTAGATACAGCCATTATTGATTGATCGACTGATATTTTTGGGGATGGTGTGTCATATGCTGCATTGTCTTGTGTACGTACATTAAATGGATTACATTTATTATCATTTGATCCTCTCTCTGTTAAAGTTAGTAATTTGTGCATTCATGAAATTAACCACCTCAGAAGTAAATTTCGGACTGACCTACCTTAAATCAAGGAAAGTAAAGGAAAGAAGAGAAAGATTCAAGTTACTGGTATAATTGATGATGGTGAACCTTGTAGGAAGAATGCCAAGGTGTCTGTAAGTCATGTACAAAGTACCAGTAACAGTACCGTTAGTAGCAATAAACGTAAGAGTACTGATTTACAAATGTCTAATCACCCCAAGAAGAGTAAATATGTAAC